TAGATTTAACGGTATTAAGCGTAGTTATACTGAAAATAAGTGTTTTCTGCAAAATAGTATTCCTAACTATTATCTTTGTTTCAGTGTAGGGGTAGTCGGGGCATAGTGGGCATGTTAAGCATTTCACCAAACATCTAATAAAGTAAGCAATATAATTGTACATTTGCAGCGTTAAATCTTGGAAAGGTATCTTATTATCATAAACTGACCGTGGAAATGTGAAAAAAATGAACAAGATGAAAAACCACATGTTTTTGGAACGTGTGAAATTGTGAATTTAAGATACCAGGTGGGGCATAGTGAGCACCCCCGGTGGGGCATAATGAGTAAGCCACGTTTTGTACAAATTGATTGTTTCATGTATACTCTAGAAAGGTTAAACCTTTGTCCAACAGTCTACGAGGTATGAGTGGATTGAAGGGTAGAATACATTCCGGAAACCCCTGAGCCAATATTTGCCAGCCAGTTGACTCTCGACGTTTAACGCCACCTGAAAAGCCAAGCTGCGGATGTCTCGAACAGTTATTCCGTAACAGGAAACTTCCAGCTTTACTATATACAACACCAGTTCGTTTTCCTCAGCGTTCGAAAAAACAGTAGCAAATGATCCGATATGCTTTTTTTCTGGAGTCACCGAAATAACGTAACGTCCTAGAGTTGCACGTGGAACACATTACTCACGAGACGTTTGATTCACGGATTCCCTACGGTTCACTGCTTCCACTGTCCTTTCCATGTTGTCCTTTGACCACTTTTACAGAACTGAACAACTCTTCTTGTAATTGCGGACCATATTACCGACACTTGCGATACGCATCAAAACAAAAACAAACCACTGTTAAATTAGTGAGGTTACTTTCTTTTCTCTGCTCACTCTACCCATCCGACGGTTGCTCACTATGCCCCACTAGACTGATGCAAAATTTGACTTTTTCGCTCCACAGTGCTTAAATGGTTTCAAGTCGGGTCCTGATTAGCCTCCCAAAGTTACAACTCATTTGGTTAGAAACAGACTTCGCACAAGCCATTTGAAGTTTACATGTAAATTACTATGGGAAATCTCAACTTTTTGTTCATTGCCTTCTAGTCTTTTTCCATATTGAGCTGCGAAACAGTTCGATAGCCATTCTAATAGAAAATTTTCTCAGCTACAACTTTGCCGAAGATCATTTCTATGTAAAACGAGACAGGAAAAAGCTAATAATTATTTAAGAGATTGGTAAACTTATGACATGATTAAGCAGCTGCTCTGTAGGCAACACTGTATTTTGCAGTGTGACATAGTAGCCATGATTGTTGTGTCCTATTCAACGCCCCAGAAACACCAATGTTGCCTGCTGAGCAGTTGATTGAGCATCATCATAAGACATCAGCGCATTGAACCATTGATAACTTTCTATCCTTGCATTTAATCAAAAAGTAGTCTTGGGCAAAGTTGTAGCTGGGAAAATTTTCTATAAGTACAGTTGTTTGCTTTTGAAGCAGACCGATATGGTGAATTATTAGATAGACATGAACAAAAATCTTGGTTTTACCATAGTAATTCCCATACAAACTTCAAATGGTTTGTGCCATCTCAGTTTCTCACCAAATGGGTTCAAATTTTGAGAGGTGAGTCAAGATCCGATTTGGAATCGTTTAAGTATTGTGGAGCGAAAATTTCAAATTTTGCATCACTCTAATGCCCCACCCTATGTAAAAAAAATCAAATGGTAGTTTTGACATCAAATTGAATACATATTATGTGTAATGTGATGCAAACAGTCTGCATATGCTTTGAAAACATGTTTAAGCTAAATAAATACCTACGACGCGGTATTCTGAGTTCTTAAAACCTTATTTAGGATCATCTGATTTTTATATTGCCTAGACAAGATATGCCTAACTTACACATGTTACGACATTTTTCAAAGTTTAAATGCGTTTTATACAATAATTTTCTAGAAATTAATTGTAGTGACGGTAATGAATTAATTTATTTTATTTTCTATTTTGAATAAATAGTAATTTATGGCATTATGCCCCACCTGTTCACTATGCCCCGCCTACCCCTAGATGCTGGTTGAATTTAGGAATCGAAAATCACGGCTGATATTGGTCGAAAATCACGTGTGATTTTCGTGGTGATGATGGCTTGTGATGTTGGTGCTTGTGATTTTAGGTGATATTGATCTTGAAAGATTGCTGATTTTGATTTTCTGATCTTGATTAGCCAACACTGATGGTGATGATGGATTTTAAAATTTTATGTAGATTTAAAAAAGTAGTCTACAAAGGTTTGAGCCTCGCGCGCGTATTACGGATATAGAGGACTGAATTGAACATTTGATAAAAAAAAATGCAATTTTGAAGCTTATTTGGAAGATACCTTGTGTTAGTAGCAATGTTGCTGATTGATGAGCCAAGCCGCGATTTGAAACCGACAATAATCTCCACGGGAGAGAACTACAAACCAAAACTGTCTCTGTTCATCAGTCACCTACCGCTTCAAGAGAAGAGCGAAAGAGTGCCCTTTACGTTTACGCCTTTATCCGTTCATTCTATGAAATGTACAAATCCAAGCCGATACCGAGGAAAATCGGGCACTGAGTGAGTGCCGCTCGAGTTTCAGGTGGCTTGTATCACTGATTGACTGAGTCAATGGTTGAGCAAGATTTTACTGGTTATTATGTACGGATACGGCAAAGAGAGAGAAAGAAAGTTTTTTTTCTGCTGCCTGCCGCAGTCCGCGTTCTGTTTTATTGGTGAAGCTTATTGTTTTTATTCTTACTGATGCAGATTTTGCTGTCTTCACCCACTAAGCAATGCTCACCTAAATTGTGCTGCGGGGAGGCGAAATATTTTGCAACAAATGGACGGTTTTGCGCTAATAGATGCCTCGGGCAGTGAGGGAAAGATAGACACTTTCTGTTTTAATCCAAAAAATAGTGTCCCACAAAATTAAATGTACTAAACTTAGTGCTTTAGCTCACGAAGTGCTTTGTTTTTAATTTATGAAATGTTTCCCACATGTAGAATTTATAGTTACCGGAAATCCTTATATGTCAAGATGCAAATCAGGGTTAGAGGTTGTTTTTGGATTTATAAACAATAATAATTAAATAGGGGCTTTTAATTAACTACATAGACTGTTAGGGGGTTCTACACAGTTTAATGTTTTTAGTGCATATTTTTATTGGAAATTGTATGAGCTGTGGACATTTGCCATATCTCTTGTCCCATAGATAACTACAGTAGTCTGGGGGCAAATTGATCACCGATGAACATCATAAAATATGAATGTTGAAATTCCCAAATATGTTTTTCTCCAATTTTTACTAAGGCACCGTTATAATTGATTAATTCGAACATCAAGATCAAACAATACTTTCTTATTTTATTAAACTGGTTTGTTTAAAGTCCACTTCTTGAAATTCAACCTTACATAGAGCAAGAATGCCACTCCTACATTAATAAACAAGTTAAAAAAAATTGTGCATCCGGCATAATTTTGGAATTTCAATCTCCGAAAGTTTGTTTAAAAATAGTTTTCATTTCGGTGGCACTCTTGTTCCATCTGGCCCTATATTCCCCGCCCATATGTAATAATAAGTAACGAAAAATCACCCTTTACCCACATACGTTACATTATTTGTAATGCAAATCACAAAAGATTATTTTATATTTCTTTTTCAGTTTTAAAAATAATTGTTTCTGTACTTACCCAAATGACTAATTTCAACATACTCATTCTCATCCTTGCATTGTGCGTTTATTTCAAAAATGTGGCGACCCCGACGTGACACTGAATCTGTTTTCAGGTTCAACAGTCGCCCCTTTGCACGCTTACTAATAAGTTGTTTTATTTCCATTGCCCCTTTATCAACGTACCCATGCATAACTGCTTCAACGAACAGGTAGACTCACTCTGACTCAATTTGTCTCTATCAACACACTCTGACTCAGACCTCGAGTTATGTAGACCGTACACGATTGCTTTTATTGACAATAATCGTATTGTCAATACATTCAATATTGACGTCAATACATCGGTATTGACAATATTTCTGTATTCACATCATCAATATTAATGTCAATAATTCCCCTTCGCGTCAATATATTGATACGTGTGGGGTTTGCTTTAGATACATGGTGAATCAGAACGACTAAGCTGATGACTGAGAGAGAGAAAGTCTGGTTAGATGAACACATTCTCAGCATTTGTCTGTTCTCCCGCTGAGTTGAGTCGGAATATTTTTGTTATTACCTCTGTCCTATTCGTAGTGAGAGCCTGGTTGGAAAATGAACATTGTGAGTTGTATCTCTCAAATACTGGTACTGAGTTTTCATTGATGCGAAAATTTGCAACATTGGTTAGTAGTAGGTTTTTCTGGCAATTGTCGGCGGTTCGTGAGTTGGCGCGCAGGGATAGTTTACTACATTACCCAAGAACCTTTGCATAATTCAAAGGTTCATTTATTACACAATCGTTTTTGATATTGAAGTGGATTGAAACCGCGTGTCCTGGCCTTTTAGGAAGTTGCTGTATTCGGAAAAAATTGTCCAGGTGACCAAATTATCCCTCTCTTACCCATGGTAGCAAAGGTGATCCACAACTTGTCGGTCGGTATCATGTTTGTGAATCTACTATTAAATAGTCAGTACTTGTTTAAGCTTCACCGTATACTCTTTATTCGCACCCATATGTGTTCTTGAGAATTCAACTTAGTAATATTAAAAAAAAACTATTGATTTTGAACAAAACCTTTTTACGGATTCGATCATTTTAGACTGTGTGGAACATCTTTTGTCTAGCATTTAAAAAAAACCATATTTGCATCTCAAAACAACGGAAAACCTTCTGGGAAGGAAAGGGTTAAGGGTTTAAGTAAAACTTACCACCATCGCTCGTTTTACTTAATGAACAGTTCTGAGCAGTGCTTTTATTTTTTTTTTCTTTCTTGTGCCAAACAGCCGTCGGATAGGAATTTCACAAACAATGAAAAACAACACAACACCTCTAAAATGGTTCACCCTTTATTCAATACTCAGTAGTCTGATTTGCAGATGTACACCAATTCAGTAATAATAGTTGTAGCAATAGAGTAATCTTAAATCGTATTCGCGAAAATTCTACCCTTAATAGCTAAAGCACGATCATTTAGTGGGATGTATGTATGTATAAATTGGGACTGTAATATGGTGAATTTGAATTACTTCTATTTATGTATTACAACATTACATTTGCGTTTGTGTGTCGAAATTAAATTTTCTCTTAAAGTACGACGACCAAAGCAACGGTTCCGAACCGTGCACCAACTAATCGCACTCGAACAAAAAAAAATACATTTACAAACAGCACAACAGAGCTTAGTCTGTGCCGTCGAGGTAGGTGAATTTTATCAGGAAATGAATGTTTAGTTCACACAGTAGAATTATAATATGCCATAAGTAGAGAAATCATAAAACGTAAATGAAAAGAAAAGCATTCTTACCGAAAGTCGAATTGGTTTCCTGATAGAACACACCGGGACGCTCGCGCCGTGAGAAACACTGTGTATGACACACTGATGAGCCGTGGAATAGCTAATCGTCCTCCTCGATCTTGACAAGCCTAGTGTACAGCTACATATCCACTTGCTTCGGTTTAGTTTATTTACGATAAAATTTCTACTAATTTGCTTAAATTGGATTTTCTTCTGTTTGTTAACTTTATGGGTAATTTACATACCCATACGGAATTTTATCATTCATTTCGCACTACATACACATAAAAAAAACACTTCATATTCTACAACTGTCGACACACCAGAAGAAAAGAGAATCGGAGAAACATTTAATCGGTTTAGATGCATTGAATGGGATATTGCTTACGGCTTTCCAGCTGAACCATCCTGGATCCGCACTGCTTGAAGTATCACCATGCTGCTTACTCCGCTTCTTCCGCTAAATTTGTGTGTCGGTGGTAGTAGTAGTAGTAGCTAAAGGTCAATGCTTACCGTCTGGATCTTTCCCTCGAGCGTGTACGGCGACGACGGTCACGATCCCGATCGCGGTCGCGATCACGGCGGTCACGGTCACGATCTCGTGAGTGACGATCGCGGCTCCGTGTCCGTCGTTCGCGGCTTTTCGAACGGCGACGTTCCGAACGGTCGGTACGTTCCGGTCGCTCCGACGATGGTTTTCGCTCACCGCGACTGTGGAAAATGCATCGATTTAATAAACTTATCAAACAGAAATTACAGCGGGAAATTGAAAACCTACTTGTCTCGCCGGTCGCGATCCTTGTCGCGAACAAGTGCCCTCGAACGTCTATCCAGCTCACGACTGCCAACGAACCGTGATCGGGCACGATCATCATCGAAGCTGCCGCCTTCGCGACGACCATTCCGCCGCAGCTCCTTCTGCCTTGGACCGGCAGTCTTTTCCAGCTCTATCAGCTTTTCTCGAATTGCCAAAAATCCTAGATGAAGCTTACCACCGAAATGATCCGCTAGCCGAACGTCGTTGTCGTGGATGCCCAGATAGGCCGAGCAAACCTCGCACACGCGTAACTTCTGCTGCTGGTAGCTACTGGCCGGTATGGCACTTCGATACTCCTGTTCGGCTTTGGCCTTCCGCGCCCGCAGCTCGTCGATCTCCGACATGAGCTTCATGCTTTCCTCGACTTGCCCTGCCTCACCTAAAGCTTCTGCCTTAGCAAGTTTCTTACCGATTTCCTCTGCCAGTTCGTGGACGGCGTTGGCTTTCGCAGCCACCTCCGCCGTCAGCTCTTCCTGCGTTTCGGCCAGCCGCTTCTTGGCCGCCTCCGTCCGCCGATCGCAATCGGCAATGAAGGCCTGCAGGTGTTCCATGGCCTGAAAAGTCAGATGAATTTAAATAAGACGAGTTGGTGCTTGCGGAATGAAAGGATGAAAACTTACGTCGACATCGTAGTAGTAGTCCTTACTTTTGGCAGCATTCTCGTAGTCGGCTCTCAGGGCAAGATCGTGCACTTTGGGACACTCTCCCAGGTCCATGCGCTAGATGAAACATAATGAGAGAAGAGAGAATGGGAATTCGTGGCGGATTAGCATCCGATATTGTACACAAAAATTACAGTCACTTTTTTGTTTGTTTCGAATTTCGGTTAGTTCTCAGGCGTGACGATTTTCCGATTCTGAACTCACTTGTTGTATTCTGTATTCGACCATATTAAATTTCAAAGGTAGTATTTTCGGTATTTCAATATTTCAGTTACTGCAGCATTGCTCGCTAGGAAGTTAACGTTTGTTAACTAATATATTCGCTACAATGATAAAAAGTAAAACAATAGCTATGAAGATTTCGCCGAAATGTTCAAGAAGTTTTGTTCAATAATTCGTTAAAATAAAAGTACTTTGCAAAAGTCTTAAGATTTAGGTATTGTAGTTATCCTTGCATGTTTATCTAACATGGAAATTAGATTCGGAAATAATTCATATTTGAGTATTAATGCGTTTATATGTGACGGTACTTAAAATGCTCAAAACATTACGTTTCAAAGAATGTAACGGAAATTATCAACGTAATACTGAGATTTCCTGATTTTTAAGGTTCAAAAATTAATTCCCTGATTTTCCAGGTTTCTGCAGGTAGTCGATACCCAGAAATAATTTAGTTAAGTTTTAGATTCAACACACAGAAATTTAAGATCAAGGATTAACAAAGAAGGATTGTCAAAATTTTGAGACTTCAGTTGAAAACAAATTACAAGATCCTGATCTTAGAAAACTTTTCAAAATACTAAGAGAATTATGTATTATATGTTAAAGTTCCCATCAAATTGTTTATAAGATAGTTTGAACATACTGAGAGGTAAGCGCATATCATCTGTAAGAAACGTGTGTGTGAGAAAATCCAAGGGCACCGGTGGGATTCGAACCCACAATTCCCATTCAGTACACGGGTGCATTACCAATTAATCATATCGCTGTGCCGCTGGTAGGAAGTGATAAAAATCTCCATATAGAATTTGAGAGAAGTGGGAATAATTCGCTATCGGTGCATATTCAGGTCAAAAAAGTGAACGACAACCTAAAGAAATTAGTCAGGGACTTTTGTCGTTCAGTTTTTTCCCGGAAATACAAGCTACAATTAAATAAAAATGATTTTTCCCCTCATACAGTTTTACCTGCTTTACTACCAGTCCCCAGAGAGCCAAAAAAATTAAAATTTGAGAGAAAATTTGCTCTCACAACCTCAATCTCTCAACATGCCATGTATTTTGATGACACTCGATTTGTGATTTCCCTTTGACAGATTACAAAATAGAGTTCCTGACACTACAAAACATGTCTGATACTTCTGATCCATGGTTATTATCGGTGTCATTCCTTAATTTTGTTGCTAAGGAATCCAATTTTGACTGACAGAGGGGCGCGCCTTTGGAGGGTGTTTCAACACTCTGAAGGGTATAAATAGCGGTACCTTTCAATTAGAGTCGGATCCTTGCGATAAATGCAAGAATTACAACTGTAAAAAAAATCGAATACTTTATCATTTCTCAATAGTGATGGAGTAATACGACATGCACTAAACTAAGGACACGGGATATACTACAATAGATCAAATTACAGGTCGCAGTGGTGTTAGGTCCCGAACAGAGGAAAAAAAACTTTGGATTAAACACTGAACTGTCGGTTTTTTTTTCCAAACCTACGACTGGATGCCTTCCTTCAAATAACCAACTGAAGTGCGGTAAAAATCGGTAGAACTGTTTCAAACACATCGTTGGTACTTGAGCGGGTCGGCGTTCATCTCTTTTTGCCAGTGGTGGCGGGGGGGGGGACACCCCTCACCATCCCTCTCCAAAGGGGGAGTTTGGTAAAGAGAGACGAAAAAACCGATATGTACCTTCCTTAAAAGTTGTCCTAGCTCGCTATCTACTCTCTATATGCAATTTTCACACTGCCGTACTCTAACGGAACTGTCAACTCTAGACTTTTATCTCCTCCATCTATCGTATAAAAATTACCACTTTAGTCTGTTATTTGAAATAAGCATCTTCAACTATGTAAATCGTTGACTTCACGCAGAAGTAATACTAAACATATCAGGCATAACATTTGATAACGGCACAAAAGCATTTGTAAACAACCATTCTAAGGCCCTTTACACGCGAACCAACGTTCGCTCCGAAAGCTATGAAATTATATTAATGATTTACGACTGGTGATCTTCCCTATCAAAACACGTCTGGAAATAACTCCAAAAAAACGTCAAACAACCGGAAAATAAACTAGATGCGGGATGCACTGAAGGGAACCCGTCCATCTCGCAAATATTAAAAGTGGTCCCTAAAACCAACAGCTCTGAGCAATTTAAAAAGTATCAAGAAACCTTGCATATAAAGGTCAACCCTAACGTTTGTCCAAGAATACGCGTTGCTATTTTGGACACAGATATAATCGCTTTATTAGACTCAGGCGCAAGTATTAGCGTGCTGAATTCGACAAAAATTCTCCAAAAACATGAGCTAAAATTATTTCAGGCAAACGTGTGAGTCCGCACAGCGGATGATACAGAACATGAATGCCTTGGGTACGCAAACGTACCTTACACATTTGCAGGCGTTACCAAGGTAATTCCAACCATTGTTGTCCCCCAACTTTCGAAATCATTAATATTAGGGATGGATTTCTGGAATGCCTTCGAGATAAGACCAATGATCAAAAGTGACGATCAGGTAACTGCTGTTGATCTTTTAGATATCAGCGGACAACCCATGATCAATTTAATCTCCGCAGATCATAATCGATAATTGAACCCTACCGACTTAGAATCAGAAATCTGTCTAACGATATGTTCATTAGAACTAACAGAAAATGAGAACATCCTTACTCATAAGGCACAACCAGAACAAGACGAATCACTAGATATGCCATCTCTAGAATTATCTAGCAACCCCGAACGAGACATTGAAAACATAGAAATTGAACATGACTTAACAGGACACGAGCGACAACAGCTCACAGAAACATTAAAATGTTTCCAATGGACTAGTGAAAACAAACTTGGTAGAACTACCCTAATAGAACATGAAATTGAGACGATAGAAGGCGCAAAAATGCGGGACTTGCCTATGTACAGATATTCGCCCAGTGTATGGGAGAGCATAGAAAAGGAACTTGAACGATACGAAAAGCTAGATGTGATCGAAGAGTGCACTAGTGAGTTTGCTAGCCCATTAGTACCGGTCAAAAAGTCGAATGGGAATATTCGAGTCTGCTTGGATTCGAGAAAAATTAATTCAATTACCAAAAAAGACGCTTACCCGATGCGCAACATGAATGAAATTTTTCATAGGCTACAAAAAGCAAAATATTTTAGCATCATTGATTTAAAGGATGCCTATTTTCAAATTCCATTAAAACAAAATTCAAGAAACTTTACAGCCTTCCGAACCCCAAAAGGACTTTTTCGATTTAAAGTTGTCCCATTTGGTCTGAGAAACGCCCCGTTTACGATGGGTAGGCTAATGAATAAAGCCATGGGCTTCGATCTTGAACCCTTCGTATTCATCTACTTAGATGACATAGTGATAGCTTCAGAGTCCTTAGAAGAACATTTCCGTCTCTTGAAAGAAGTGGCAAAACGCTTAGAGAAAGCTGGTTTGACAATTTCTGTTCAAAAAAGCCGCTTTTGTAGAAGACAAGTGAAATATCTGGGGTACCTATTAACTGAGAATGGCCTGGCAATCGACAGTACAAAGCTAGAACCAATACTTAATTACCCCCGCCCTAAGTCAATCAGGGATGTCCGACGACTTATGGGATTGATGGGATTCTACCAAAAATTTATCGAATGTTATAGCCGCATAACAGCACCAATTACAGATCTTTTAAAAAAAGCAAAAAAATTCAAATGGACCGATGAAGCAGAACGTGCGCTAGCTGAATTAAAATCGGTACTAACTTCCTCACCTGTACTTGCAAACCCTCGTTACGATCTCCCATTCATAATAGAGACCGATGCATCCCAACTGGCTGTCGGAGCAGCTCTCCTACAAGTCCACCCCGAAGGGAAAAGGATAATTGCTTACTTTAGAAAAAACTCTCAAGCACGCAACGTAAATATGCAGCGACTGAGAAAGAGTGTCTTGCAGTTCTACTTGCTGTTGAAAATTTTCGACACTATATCGAGGGGACAACTTTCACAGTCATAACCGATGCCAAAAGCATCACTTGGCTGTTCACAATTACTGCGGCTAACGGAAATTCAAGACTACTTCGTTGGGCCTTAAAACTGCAATCCTTTGACTTCTCAATACAGTATAGGAAGGGTAAGGACAATGTACTTGCTGATTGCTTATCAAGGATTGAAACTATTCAAATAGGTGATAGTAAGTATGCCGATTTGCGTACGAAAATAAGTAGCAACCCTGATCAATTTAAAGAATTTAAACTGGTTGGTGGCAAAATTTTCAAATTTGTCCACAACACAGCAACAATTGAGGATAAAAGATTCCTTTGGAAATACTATCCTCCAGAACAAAAAAGGAGAGAGATTATAAAAGGTGTGCATGATCCAGCTCACTTAGGCTACGAAAAAACAATTGCCAAGCTAAAAGAAAAACATTATTGGCCTAGAATGGCCCTAGAAACAAGACAGTTTTGTAAAACTTGTTTGCCCTGTAAAACTTCTAAAAGTACAAACATAAATAGCACCCCACCTATGGGCACCCAGAAACAGCATTGTGACCAACCATGGCAGTTCCTAACGTTGGATTACCTGGGTCCGTTTCCACCGTCAGGTAAAACTGGAAGTACATGTCTCCTTGTGGTTACCGATGTATTCACAAAATTTGTTCTGGTTCAAGCTTTTACACAGGCAACAGCCTGTTCATTTGTTAAATTTCTTGAACAATCAATTTTTCTTTTATTTGGCGTACCAGAAATAATATTGACGGACAACGGTAGCCAATTCACATCAAAAATGTTTAAAGAACTCTTAACACACCATGGAATTACCCATTGGCTCACACCATCCTACCACCCACAAGTTAACAACTCGGAAAGAGTTAACAGGGTTATTACAGCCGCAATTAGGGCCACTATCAAATCAAGTCACAAAACGTGGGCAGACAACATACAGAGCATAGCAAATGCGATAAGAAACTCAACGCATGAGTCCACAAAACATACTCCGTATTTCTTAACATTCGGAAGAAATATGATCTCCGACGGACGAGAATATGCAGCACTTAAAGTTCATAGCGGCTGGTGAGCAGATGTCTTTTTGAAAAATTTTTCTCAGTGATCTCCGTTTTAGTTTCAATTAAGTTAAAGTTTCGTAGAAACAAAGCCAAGAAGGCACAATTTTCCTGCTCTGTGTGCAGTTTATTGAAAATAACAAAGCGTTCGTCCAACGAGCGCTTTATATACAGGCTTGATTCCTGTCACGACACCACACATTCACGTGTTGACCGCCATCGCTCGTGTGCTCGTTTCGGCCCGCCGTGATCGGTAGTTAAACGGAGTGCTGGTTTCCCATCATCTTAAGGTAACGTCCGAGTGCTTGGGGGTCTTGTGGGAAGGTTTCATTTCGTCCCGTAGTGATCGAGTAGTGGTAGTTCGCGAGGGTCACTCGGCGGGGCACGTTGGCCTTCTTGCGGGATTTCTGGGTTGCTCTGGACGGCCTGCTAACCTCGAAATCGAAAGCTTTCGTCCAGCCGCGCCACCTCCGCACCTTTAATTCGGCCCTCTTTGAATGCATACGAGCCCTCCGAGGTTGGTGAATACCCACCCTACACCACCTTGTCAGCAAAACATCGCCGCGGTTCGATGGACCCCTCGACCGTTCCCGTACCGGCCGAGAAGTCAACGCCAGCATAAACCCTGCGCAGGTACGTCATCAATATGGCCATTACACTAAAACATTTACACGCCACACACACAAAGTTCAACCCGAATTAGAAAAGATGAATTAAAATGAATTAAAGTTCATTCAAATGAAATTACTTTTTGTTCTGATTTATGCTACGAACCATTCCCTAGGTAAAAGCTTTCCGTTCACTTCGATTCACTTTCGTTTACGTTCACCTCGCTTTTCGTTCTCCTAGTACGTTCACAGCTTTAGCGGCGTATGACCGACTGGAAACGTAACTTTTTTGTTGAATTTTAGAAAGCTCTGTCGGCGTAAAATCAACCGTTCAAAGACTCCCCTGAGAACTCAATATTTGCTCTTTAGAGCATAGTCGGGCAATTCAACACGACCAGTAGTCTCTCGATCTCGAGAGTGGCGCATAAGCTACTGCATTGTAAAAACCTTCTCTTCAAGCGAATTCGATGGACGGTTACATTGTTAGTTAGTTTTCGAAGGAGAAGTTCTGAGCACAATTCCAGAATTACAGAATTACGGATAATGCTTAGCTGAATCTCAGCAAACAAATGAAATGTTTGCTGAGATCTCAATAAAACTTTTTTGCCGAGATTTGCACCGCCGAGCTCGGTAGAAAAAACTAAGTGTGTAAGAGTGTTCTGGCAATAATTTCAACCCTAGTGCGAAATATTCATCACAGAATTCCAACAAAATTGATTGCAAAAAAATGCTGATAGTTAGAACGAAATTCCTTAAAATACTCCAAGGGGTTTCTAAAAAAAAAAATTTCGAAAGATTTCTGCTGTTTTGAATAAAGTTAAAATAAATTTTTGACAAGATTTTCAAAGGAATCAAAGTCTCCGAATAGGTTCAAGGGAATTCTAAGAAGGATTCCAATTAAATTCTTAGAAGTGGTTGCAAGGAAATTCCAAAACGAATTCAACGGTAATTATTACGCGGAGTGTTTTCTGGTTTATTTCAGAAGAATTCCATGATAATTCAGAGCAGAATTCCAAGTTTATTCTGGAATTCATATCATGAAAATTTTGACAACGAAAAATTAAAACCCCGGAAAAGAATAATTCAGTTTCAGTTTTTAAAAATATTTGTTTCCTAAGTATAACATCTGCAATATTTTCTTTTAATGACCAAGCACTTTACATCTGAAATTGAAACGACAAAAATCAATTTGCAATATTGCTGAGTGATTAAATTCTAAAAACAATAAGACGGCAAACAGAAGAAAATTATGATGCACCAAATAGAGCAAGGCATTCATTCGGTAAAGGATCACTCTGTTTTAAAGGTTTATTCTGAAATTTTTGCTGGCCACCCTGCATATCACGTCGCCGACGAAAATATTTTGATTGACGCACAGATCTTCTTCTTCTTCTTCTTCGCATTTCAAGCTTATTGCATATCGCATATTAGCTTATTGCGTGCTCTCAACTTAGTGTTCTAGATGCACTTCCACAGTTATTAATTGAGCGCTTCCGATGCCTGTACCATTTTTGCATAGAGTATAATTGTGTGGCAAGTACAATCATACTCTACGCCCAGGGAAGTCGAGAAATTTTCCAACCCGAAAAATTCCTTGACCGGACTGGGAATCGAACCCAGCCACCTCCAGCATGGTCTTGCTTTGTAGCTGCGTCTTTACCGACTGAGCTAAGGAAGGCCCCACAGGGAGCGCACAGATCTACCTACAATCAAAAGATCAAAGAGGTGAGGTTGATAGTTTTTGGAAAAATATCAATTCTATTCGCTGAGGCAAAGGGACGTTAGAATTCCATAAAAACCGCTTATGAAATTTCGACAAACGGATTTCTTATGGAAATCATAAGTTTGACACTTTAACAAAAAGTAATATAAAATGTAGCAGACCGGAATCGTATCCTGAGCGATCAGATTATTCACTCCGTGATTTGTTCCCACGTCTATCAACGCTTGGAAAATAGAATAGGTTAAAGGTATATAAGAACAACTCGTAGTACCTCATGTATAAGTCGTGCTTATGAAATGCCTATGGAATTCGTAAGTATCTTATGAAATCAAAAATGTCCAGGTTCATAAGTCATGTCTAATTAAATTATTAAGATGTTTTACCTCTGTGAAGAACAATGATAGCAAATTAGCACAAACAGTGTGTTGTGTCTGTTTCTATGTGGTGTTAGCATGGATCATTTTGGTTTTCGTTCATTTGTTTTCCGTCGATCTTATTTTCCTTTCCTAGTACCAATAATGCTATCCGACGCCAGGCGAGGGAGGCAACTCCCACCCTGGACCCTACCTATCGACCCATCATGAACTCATAGACCGGGGACCAACGGCATTACTTCCCGTGATCTGAGATGTTATGCCTCAGAAAATCCCGGCGGCGCCGACTGGGATTGACCCCAGGTCTTTCGGGGTGAGGCAATCACGCTTACCACTACACCACCGGCGCCGCTGTTAGCATGGAGTTCAATCGAGCAATGCTTTTTCAGTGCAGCTGTTAATGTTCTCTATTCTTTGATTCTAGATTCCTTCGGATCCTAATTTCACAATTCCAGTTCCAAACACCAGCTCCGGTTCGAAAATCCTAGACAACTTCCGTTCGATTATTATTACTATTACTAGGGAAAAGAGTAGTTATAATAGTTTCATGTTTGTTGTTGTAATTACTCACCAAAATCGACAACACAACCAATCCTCGCCACACACGAGAGCTAAGCGTAGTGGAACCCAAGTCTGCCCTCAGCAGGAGACTTGTTCGACTTGAACGTGCGCTACTACTGATCTTTTTACTTTCTTTGGATTGGACGCGGTCGGATTTGTTACGGGTAAAAGGTAAAGTTCGGTTTTGCAATCAGAAACCACAATTGCGCCACTTTTTTTTTTAATAAACAACAAAAGTTCATACGTACGTACAACGACAGGCCCTTCGGAGGAAAACAAAGGAGTGTGATCACCATCATCATTATCCTCTCTGCCACTCTAACAATTGAAATAGGAGGGGAACCACTTTCTTTTTCTCCAGCGCCGGATTTGATCGGAAAAAAGACAATGTTTTACTTTTGTCCGTTAACGGGAAAGAAATGAAGATAGTTTTTGTTTGTTTTGTTACAAAGATTAACGGTTTGTGTTTGTACATACCCAATCGCGCGCTTGAAAGCCTTCGACGATGATGCTGATTAAGATTGTTTTTTTTTTTAATTCATACGTACCCATTTTCTGGTATTGTGGAATTGAAAGTCTGACTACTATTGAAGACACGAACTACGAAATTAGTGAAATTAGGTTTCGATTTTGTGACTTTTACTCGAGCTCAGCGAATGACTACTGGGGTGAACCTCATCAAGACAAGGCATTAGTGCAGCGTTCTCAATTTTCAGAAAAAAAAGTAAGAAGTTATTTCTTCAGGTTTGAACTTCACCTCAATAGTCACACAAACATTCACGACAAATCAAATTCGTTTCGCGATTTCTACAACATCTCAGGATCAAGCTTTCGAATCATAAAAATTTAGAAACTAAACACTTACGGTAAGCTGGACCAACCGAGTGCGGGAGGCGTTCCCATCACGTGAGAGCGTGTGCTCGCGCTTCCGGGCAAGAGGATAACACGGACTCGATCTGCCTTTAACAATTTGAAACAGATTCGTAAAGAATTCCTGTGCTTAAAGGCAATCAAATTGCTTGAATGATGATCAAAGTTTGAATTTTCGTCAATCAGCAAAAAGTACTTACGATCATCGGCTAGTGTGTAGCAAAACCCTACTCTTGTTCGTTTTTGATCCCAAAAGGAGGAACCACTACTTCAGAACTCTGTTTTGAAGGGAAGTAGCGACGTGTCTGCAATAGAATCAGATGAGGGACATTTTGGTTTCGATCGCTTTCCGGAGGAGCAAGTCTTGTGTGGTTGGCTCGTGCTGAGGAAAAACATCTACACACGACAAACGGACGAACAGAGAGAGAGAGCACTTCGAAAGGCTTCTGCTTCTGTTTTGAGGTGGGGGTTCTACAACTCGGGGGGAATTAATTTAAAAACAAACGGCGGCCGCAGATTTAGATGACCTGCATTGGATCGGCAGAAAAGGAGGAATATGATAATCTAGATTTCGTTCAGTTCTACTTACCGTTGAGGCGAGGATCTCATGTGGACAGCATCCTAACAAAAAACTTTTACATACTTTGTTGTCGTAGAACTTGGTCGAGTAGCGGTTAGATTCACCTGAAAATATATGATACTTCAGTTATTACGCGTCGCTATGGGGCCCCCCCTTGAAACCTTGTCTAGTATGATACAATACAATAATACAAAGCTAGAACTAACCGAAAATGCAAATTAAATAGCTTATTTTGAATTTTCTACCAAATAAAATAAACTTACAAAATCTACCTCTCACCAAGCAAAAACAAACATGGAGGACAGGGCTTTCACCACCGCAATTCGGAATGTTGCTACTCACCATTTCTGGCCGTTCCCATGAGCTGATCCAGCATGGCTCGCATTTGATCGTGAGCCGTCATCGTTGCCCTGGTTTTTAAACACCTTCCAGCGATAAGACCGTCCTGAATCCACCAGAAATTCCAGTTTTTCTTCCACACCTCCAAATGCAAGATGTCACACACGCACGCAGAATAAAATGAAAACGTTGAACATTTTTTTTTTTTTATTCCGACGAACCACGAACTGTCAGTGTTCGGGCCTTTCGAACATCCCGGCGCTTTGTTTTCGAATCAATCGTGTCGTCGCCGTCGCCGTCATTCAGTACCATCCGTGGTTTGTTGTGATCAAGTAGTGCGTGTTATCAGCAATCTCTCGAAAAATGTAATCAAATTCTGCGCAAAACTCCGCAACCTATCCTCAAAATGCAACCGGACGATCTCTCGATCCCACGCGGAGACAACAAAATCAAGGAAAAGTTGAATCTTCACCTGAAGAAACGCCTGCAGGAAACGGGTAAAAGTTTATCATCATCGGCAGCAGAACCACCCCCACCGCCGTCATCATCATCATCATCAACATGCCCACCGGTTTCGCCTGCTGCTTCAGCAGCGGCAGCAGGGCCGTCATCGGGATCAAAGACTAAAAAGCAAAAGACTAAGCACTCGCCATCTACCTCATCTGCGACGAGCGCCTCTGCCGGCAGTTCGTTTTACATCGGCGCTGCCGCCGGCTGTAGCAGTTCCAAAAATCCGGATCACATGATGCTCTCTCCCGGAGCGCTCGGCGGGGGCAACAGCAACGATACCACCAACAGCAGTTTCAACTCGGTCGATCTGGACCCGGATGCTAATCTGTCGAACGATGGCCTGGAACGGGCGGCCGGGGAAAAGAGCGGCTCCAAGGTAAACTCTAAGCCGGATATTTTCACGGTGATTTTGAATGAGAAGAAGAGCTCGCTCATGCGGGATCCGGAAGTGATCAAGTTTTTGACAGATTTGATGGAGAAACGTGACAAGCCTTAAACGAGATTGAAAATGTTCTGCTCTGTTGCTTCGAAAATCCCTATAATAAATTCCCCCATCAAATCCGCCAGATGTCGTCCTGCCATTGGTGAATAAAGCAGAATTGTGGGAATGGAGTTTTTTCCGCAAAATCGTCGATTTCTTTTTAAACATTGCTGCACGGCGAATCAGAACGACTCAAATTTGAGTTTAGTTCACTCATAATCGCCAAAAGTGCAGGAACTCAGCGATGAGTAAATTTGCTTCATGTTTTCCCAGGTTTTTCCAGGGAAAAAAATCCCGAATTTGAGAGAAGTAAAGATTGGATTCACTCAGTCTATTGGTACTACTCCGAGACTGAATAAAGTTTTCGTCAATTTCCTCATTTTCTGGCAGATTTTTTAGGTTTTCCACAGGAAACCATGGGACAAATTTTACTCATCGCTGAGTTCCTGCACTTTTGGCGATTATGAGTGAACTAAACTCAAATTTGGGTCGTTCTCATTCGCCGTGTGCTGGTATGAGAAAAAATGTCTAGATTTTCAACATTCCGACATTGCATAGAATGTGCCTCTCATCGCTCAGTCGGTAAAAGTGCTGCAAGACCATGCTGGAGGCGGCTGGGATCGATTCCCGGTCCGGTCTAAGAATTTTTAGGATAGAAAATTTTCTTGACTTCCCTGGGCATACAGTTGTTGATATAACAACGGTCATGTCTTTCACGATACACCTTGAAACTAATAGCGAATTTGTTTTTGATTCAGTTCCAACTTGGATCGGGTATCAAGATTGGGTATGCTTGTTGCCTTGCAAACGTCAGTGTTAACGTTTGTTTTTGTAACTTGGTTCGTGTTGAGGTTCGCACTGACAATACGCTCGGGTTCGCATGGGTTGGAACTGGTGCCAACCTGGATAATTGTTTATTGTTGCCATACATCAACAGGCTGGCTGTAGCCCAAATGATGTTAATAATACTAATCATAATAATAATAATAGTAAAATTACATGTCAAATAATCACAGAAAGAAAAACAAAGCAACATGGTCAGAATGTAAAAAAACATAAATGGAAATACACTAATTTTCTCTGCGACCGGCGAAAACAGATGAGAATCTCCGACGAAGCGCATCACGTGTGAGGTGAAAGTCGAATACAGATGCGACTCTGTTGAACACACGCTGTAGTTCGTGCGACGCAGTGGCAGCAGTGGCAGTCTCAGCATGAGGTTGTTACGGAGTGGTCGGGGTTGCACGTTTAGGTCAATTTGCCTTAGGATAGCCTCACAATCTATTCGTCCCTGTAGAGTGTCGGCGATAATCAAAGCTCTGTTGGTGTCCCTTCTAATCCGGAGAGGTTCAAGGTTTATCAGTTGGCAGCGACTCTCGTAGCTGGGCAGCCGAAGCGGATCTCTCCAGGGCAGTCTACGAAGCGCAAAACGAAGAAAGCGACGTTGAACAGATTCGATTCTCTCGGCACCATTGTTGTAATTCGGATTCCAAACCGCAGAACAATACTCAAGCGTCGATCGTACGAGGGAGCAGTAAAGAGATTTTAAGCAGTAGATATCGGTGAAATTCTTAGCTATCCTGAAGATGAATCCTAAAGTCCTAGACGACTTATTGATGACATAAGAAATGTGTTGCCTGAATGTTAGCTGTGAATCCAACACCACACCCAGGTCTTTCACCTGATTCACGCGTTCGAGTGTCGTTCCAAGCAGGTCATAGCTGAATACAATCGGTTGCTTTTTTCGTGAGAACGTTATGGCAGAGCACTTCCCGCATAAACGCGAACCATAAATTGACCTTACCTAAAATGGTTAAAAATTGTTTATAATCCCTGCTAAACTTTAACTGAAATGGTTATGGAACTTTACATGAACGTTTAATGATAAAGTTTCAACCTTATGTATTATGGTTTTTTGGAACTGGACCTTACAAATAATGGGTTGTTAAGAACCATTACCGTTTCAAATTCTTGTTTTCTCCATACATTTTCGGAAAGAGAACTATATTAGAACCTTTTAACTTATGGTTTGAGAACTTTAATGGTAATGGTTATGGTAGTCAGTAAGGTCCACGAATGGTTTTGTAACATCGATCAACTTTATGTGGAATATATCGCGAATTGGTTGCCTGTAATTTACTGATTACCAATTCACGATATATTCCACGTAAAGTTGAGCGATAATACAAAACCATTAATGGACCTTACTGACTACCATAACCATTACCATTAAAGTTCTCAAATCATAAGTAAAAACGTTCTTATATAGTTCTCTTTCTGAAAATGTATGGAGAAAACAAGAATTTGGAATGGTAATGGTTCTTAACAACTCATTATTTGTAAGGTCCAGTTCCAAAAAACCTTAATACATAAGGTTGAAACTTTATCATTAAACGTTCATGTAAAGTTCCATAACCATTTCAGTTAAAGTTTAGCAGGGATTATAAACAATTTTTAACCATTTTAGGTAAGGTCAATTTATGGTTCGCGTTTATGCGGGTTTGCTGGGTTCACTACCATTCGATTTAAAGTACACCAACTGGCGAAGACATTAAGCTGATGTTGAAGATTGTGGCAGTCAGCGATCGAGCAAATTCGTAAAAATATTTTGAGGCCGTCTGCATATGCTAATCGAGGTCCTTCAATAACCAGGTTCACGTCGTTGAAGTAGAGTAGAAAAATCAACGGTCCCAGATGGCTTCCCTGCGGTATACCTGATGTGGCAAAGAAGCTAGCTGATTTGCAATCTCCTATAGCAACCATAAGTTGGCGACCAGTAAGATACGAACGGAGCCAACTCAAGAGATTACCGCTCACCCCAAGCCTGTCGAGTTTAGCAATCGCAATGTCATGATTCAACTTATCGAATGCCGCGGATAGATCGGTATATATAACGTCCGTCTGTACCCGTTCAGTCATACTATCGGTAATGTAGTATGTGAGGCATAGCAGATTGGTGGTTGTAGAGCGACCGCCAGTAAACCCGTGTTGATCAGCACTCAGATACTGCTTGCTGTGAGAGAGCAACGGTTCCATAATAACAAGCTCGAATAGTTTCGAAACAGCACTCAGCGATGTAATTCCACGATAGTTATCCACGGCTCGTTTGCTTCCCTTTTTGTGGACAGGAAACATGTGTGCACATTTCCAGAAGGATGGAAATATACCACTGGAGAGAGACATCCGGAATAGACGGTGAAGTGGAGTTAACAAGCAAGCAATATGTTTCTTCAAAAACACGGATGGCACTCCGTCGGGTCCAGGGTTGAAGGACGATTTGAGCTGTGTTGCAGCGTTAGAAATCATCTCAACGTTGACATCAATTGCACTCAGCGTTTGACCATTTAGTGGGATGTTCCTGGCTGCGAGGGAAACATGGTCGTCACTTAGTCTCTCATCAGTGAACACACTGGCAAAATTGACAGAAAAAAGGCGACAAATATCCTGCGGAGTGGAAGCGACTTCACTGTTCAATTCCATTGACGATGGGAGGCCAGATTCTCTGCGTTGCTCGTTCACGTAGTTCCAGAAGGATCTCGGGTGTAGTTTAAGGTTACGCTGAATACCTCGTTGAAATCGCAGAAAGCATCGACGACTGGCTCGCTGATACTCGTGATTAAGCCTCACGTAGTGATGTTTCAGAAGAAGCGTGCGATACTTCGTAAATCTTCTCAATGCTGCTCTCTTGGTCGACTTCAACCTACGCAGCTCAATCGTCTGCCAGGGAGGGTGAGAGTCTTTGCGTTGAATTCTTTTCGGGACGTGTCTGTCAATGACATATGCCAAGACATGAGAAAAAGTTTGCGCAGCGGCCTCAACGTCGTCATGATCGAGAATGTTCTCCCAGTCCATGTTTGACAACACATCTACAATGCTTCGATGGTCGGCCTTTCGAAAGTCATTAGAAACCACAGCAGGAAGACTATCGAAATCACGAACAAGATTGTCCTCAACAGTGACAATCAGAGGAGGGTGGTGCGGAACAAGCTTAACTAGTGGACAAGGTGCTGTGGAAATGAACGGAGCATTGTCCTGAGTGCTCACGAAGCAGAGGTCCAAACTACGGTTGTTCTCGTTGACTACGTAGTTAATTTGAGAAAGCGTTGCTACGCTATAGTTATCGAGAAGGCCGATAGCTCCTGGATGAAATACAGAACGTTCTGGATCTGGATAGAGGAAGCCGCTATGGGATGGTCTCCACGAAACGCCTGCTAGGTTAAAGTCCCCAAAAATGAATAGCTCATCAATTGGAGTCGCTCTTTCCATTACTGTGAAGACTGATTGACAGTGAGTCTCGATGAGTTCAAGATCACGAACTCGATCTGGAGGCATGTACAATGCGCACAAAAATAATGTGCGATCGCCCAGTTTAATGGCTGTCCAAACCTGTTCCACACTGTTCCACGATTCATTTTCGATTGCTCTCGCCTCCAATCCGGAACGGACAGCCACAAGAACGCCACCACCAGTAGATTTTCGGCTGTTGTTTGGATTCCGATCGCAACGAAAAACCTCATAATCGGATCCGAACACCTGGCTGGAAAGCGTTCGCGAATCGAGCCACGTCAAATTCGCTCTAAGAGCTACCCTGTAGCACAGACAAACAGACATAACTCTCACAAGAACATACTTCGCAAAAGGGTTTAGTATGGAATGTACTCGCATTTGTCTCGGTCTTGGTACTTGGCCACTTAAGCGTTGACGGCACCGTTAAAAAATTTGCTAGGATAGTACAAAGTCCACCATGTTTCACACACAGTCTGACGTTTGCTTATGGATTTTCTCATAGGAGTAAAGAGCTACAGAGTCGCCGTCAACGCCAATTTCAAGCTTGTCAAGACGGACAAGAATCTGACTCAACCCATGCCACTTAGAAGACTCAGGACGATGAACAGTAGGATTAGCCTTCCTTTGATTCCTAATAGGGGTACACACTTAAAAATTTTCGCCGAGATTCCAACAGCTGAGCAGTTTTGCAATTTATTTGGCTGAGATTCAGTAAAACATTTGCCGAGACTCAGCTAACAAATATCATTTTGCTGAGATATCAGCTAACAAACAGATGTTTTGCAGAGATATCAGCAAAAGTAAATGCCGAGGTAATCGGCTGTTGGAGATTTTACCGAGCTAGATTAAGTGTGTAGGACCGAGGGTAGGACACAATCTGCGCTGGTAACATAAACTATGTTTTATTTTCTTTGTTTTTTTTTATAAAATAAATGAATAAATTTATGTTTTAAATATGATACAAACATTACTTTGGCTACTTTTCTTAATCTGGAAAATCATTATTATGATAATATTTAAAATTTAATATAAAAAATATATATATTGTCATAATAAAAACAACTCTTTTCGAACTGAAACAGTTTGCACTTCATTTTGAAAGCATTGGTTTTCCTTTTGAAAGTTCTACAATTTGATTCAAAAGCACCAACTTTTAAAATTAACGAAGAGGTAAACTTTTGATTTGACAAGTTACTCATTTTTATTTTGAATGCTTCAGACTTTCTACCAAAAAGAACCAACGAAAACTTTTAATTCTATCAATGATTTTTATTTTATTTTAGTAGTGATTATTTTTTGTGTGTAGGTTAAAATTTGTCCAATGTACAGTTTGAAATGATGGGTATATGTTTGTTACTTCGGTCATTCGGACTGCCTATAACATGATTGGTGCTCATTTTCTAAAGGCGGGGCCAATCGAGGGGCCAATCTAAAGTTAGGTAAACATTCATTTTAAAAGTGATATTTGAGAAAACTTTTCATTTTCATACTGCTATACTTTTCGCTTGATATTATAAACATTTATTTTGAATACATAACCTTTCTATTTAAAAGATTTAAGTATTTCATCTAAAAGTAAACGTTTTCATGCTAAAAACAATTTTGATGTAGATTCAAAATAGACCATATCTTTTTAACTATATCACACTTTTCTGCCAAAAGTATGTAGTGGATTAGAAACAATCTGCTTTCAAATTAAAAACTGCCATGTTTTTATTTTGACAGTAGTACCACAGACAAACAGACATAACTCATTGAATATTTCTCACTGTAAAACATCGTCGCTAAAACATTAACGCCATCTGTGGTGGGCACTACGCTGAACAGATGGCGGTAGTGTGTAAACGTCAAACGCAAGGGAATTTACTATGCGCGCCACAGGTGGAGGTACTACCAACTACGATACTTTTAAATTGTCCGTTAAATGCTTGTTCGATGAAAAACTTGCGAGTGTCATGTCTGTTTGTCTGTGGTAGTACAATTCGGTTTGAAAGTTTCTACTTTTAAAAATAGGGTGCGGCTTACTTTTGAATTGACAGTTGGCTGACTTTTGTTTTGAATGCGAAAGACTTTCTACCAAAAAGAACCAACGCAAACTTTTAATTCTACCAATGTTTTTTTTAATTGTATCAACGATAATTCTTTGTGTGTACTATGACATCTGTGAAAGGGAATCTAGTATCATGTAGAACAAATCGTCCAATGTAACTCTCATTGATTATGTCATTGAGAAAAATCGTCCAATGTAACATGTCCGATGTACAACTCGACTTGTCAAAACGTCCTATGTGTTTTTTTCTATGTTGTAGCATGAAATTCAAAGCAAAATTGTGATTTTACCGTTCCTTCTGAATTTTCATCGTTATTATACACTGACTACATTAAAAATAGTATTGCATAATGTATTGTCTTTAAACAGTTAAATTAATAATCTGTCGAACTTTAACTTCGATGTTATCAAAATGGTGGATTTGTTACATTGGTCTATTTGAAAAGTGACGCGGGATTTCTTGAAATTCAAGGCTCGTCCACGCAAACCAACATCTTCATCGGGTACACAGCAAAAAAAATGTAATATCGATCAACGTAATTCAAGCTGATGTATGAAATAATGATGTAATAGCAAAAAGCAGATACAATATTACATCAATGGATGTAATTTTGTTCGCAAAATCGATGTACATCGTACAATGTGATATTACACAACCGATGGATTGACCTGGTTGCATCAGTTTCGATGTAATATTCAACAACTTTTTTTGCTGTGTAGGGAAAGACTTCGCCTATCCGGTGGTTAGGTTGGTCTGCGTGGACGTGCCTTGAATTCCTAGAAATCATCGATAGAAGTCATTGTTTACAAAAGCTGTTACGCCCTAATTCCAGCTCTATCTAGACTTTAGAGTATCTTGCGAGATATCTTGTACTCATAGGCGAATCCAGTAGAGACTAAACGATTGTTTCAACCTCTGGCGGTGAAAAGGGGAACCCTCAAAAGAGTGATGAGGGTGGAAATTTTCACCATGAAGCATTGGAAGAAGGCAATATTTTCACCTTTCCTGATTAATTTATCCCCCGCCGGTGCTTAAAATCATCATCCACGTGGAATATTTTGTTTTCTGTATCGGGTTTGCAGTGATCCGGCTGGTGCTTCCATATATTTTTGATGAGAAAAATTAAGATTTATAAAATTATCTCAGCGGTTATGATCTTCCGGATTTTTAATGTGTGGTTATTTCAGCTGGAAATCAGTTCAGCCTAGGGGATGCCCCTAGAGTTCAGCTCTGTAGATAATCGAAAAATACGAACACACCCGATGGAAATTTTCAAGTTGTGCAATACAATGTACATTTTTTGAAGTTTTGAAAATCGTCATTATAATGTAAACAAATGGACTGGATGATATTTCCTTTCAAAATCGGCTAGCTCACCCTACATTGATGGTGCATGAAAAGAGCCTATTATTAGAACTATAGTCGCTATATTCAAAGTCTGGCGGATAGAATCTCGGGAACCAATTGAACTGTCAAATAGCGGAACCAATCGAGCAAATCACGACCAACAACAGAAAAGAGCACATCAGCTATTGCGAACAAAACTTCGGCAACCGTTTTCTCGTGATTCAACGCTTGCCTACGCAAACTAACACTATCTTTGCATTGGGGAAAGATTCCCCTATCCGGTGATGCCGGTAATTTGCGTTCGATTGTCGAGGAAAGAATAATCAACGTTTTGTTTATGAATGTTGATAGGACCTTTTCAATTGTTGGTCTACAATATATTGAATCGGTTCCGTTTTTTGATAGATCGAAATTCTATCCGCCAGACTATGAATATAGCGACTATAATTAGAACTGGTTCTAAAATTTAGAAAAAAATAGTATGTACCATGTACCTCATCTGTCCTGCATACCTGTGATTTTAAATTCTGATCTGCGGACTGCGGGTATTTATTTTTCGAAACTTACTCACGCATCACCCCTCGTACCGATCGACGCAAAACAAAACGTCAAAATTCGGTTATTTTCGTGTTTTATTTACATTTTCCTCCTCTGTCTGCTGAAAGATCGCATTTCGCAGGCAGACAAGAGTGATTTTTCTCTTCCATTAGTGTTTTTCATTTTGCTTGCGGTAAATACCAATAAAAAATAACATTACGGACGATGAGCAATAAATGTTGCAACTTGCTATAATTCGATTAGTGCGAAGTGGAGTCCTTGAGCCGCGTCGAAATTGATTTGTGCGTGCGTGTGTGTAGATTAAAGTTTTTTTTTTTTTGTGAAGGGGAAAAGTGATCATGAGCGAATCACAACCCTCAGATATCGGAAGCGAATTGAATCGCTGTGAACCAGGTAGCTGCCAGGAAAGTATGCTGATCACGGCGGATTCCATCGAGGAATTTTCACAGGAAATCAGCATCAGCTTGGCGGAGAATGGGGCCGAGAAAAATGGAACGGTAGACGATGGTCAGAAGAAGCAGAGTGCGAGTGTGGGTGAGGAGGTGGCCGGAGGAAACATTACAAAGATTCAAGATGGGTTGAATGTTGATAAGGACAGTGATGGAGCGATGAGCAAATCGAGCTCGTTCAGCAGTGCAAAGAGCAGAGATCTAACGGCTTCGTGTACGAGCTTGGTGGACGATGGGAATGCTGCCGCGGGTTCGAGTTTGGTGGCGGAGGAGGAGCGTGATGCGGAAGATTACCTGCACGATCCCATTTTTCTTAGGAAGAAAAGGCACGTTTTCATCCTCAGTTCGGCGGGGAAGCCAATCTACTCGATGCACGGAAACGAGGACAAACTGGCGACACTTTTCGGAGTGATGCAAGCGTTGGTCAGTTTCGTGCAGAGCAACAATGATTCCATGAAATCGATTCATGCGATGGGCGTCAAGTTTGTGTTTCTGGTGAAATCGCCTCTGATATTGGTGGCCATTTCGAGAACAAATCACAGCGTGCAACAAGTGCAGCTGCAGCTGACGTAAGTGATTGGGATTTACTTATCTGATGAGAAACTCAGTATCAATTAATATTGATTTTAGGGATGTCTACAACCAGATCCTTTCGACGCTGACGCTAATGCACATGCAGAAGACATTCGAACGGCGAAAAAATTTCGATCTGCGACGATTGTTGGCCGGCAGTGAGCGGCTTATTGATCATCTGCTGGTCAACGACAAATGCGATCACAAACTAGTTACCAACAATCCTTTCAGTTTTATGACACATTCCGTGCGGATCTTGCCCTTGCAGCCGAGCGTACGGGAGAATATCATCGGAGCGATCCAGAACAACTGCTCCAAAATCAAGAACCTGGTGTTCGCAGTATTGATCGCAAATAACAAACTGATCGCGCTGGTACGCATGAAGAAGTACTTTATCCATCCGGCGGATTTGCGACTGATTTTCAACCTGATCGAGTGTTCCGAGAGCTTCAAGTCGGCTGAAAGTTGGACACCCATTTGCTTGCCCAAGTTCGACTCCAGTGGGTTTCTGTATGCGCACGTGTCCTACCTGTCAGAGGACTGCCAGGCCTGTCTGCTGCTTCTGTCGATCGAGCGGGATGTGTTCTACGTGCTGAAGGAAGCCAAGCAAAAAATCACGGATGTAGGTCTTTTAAAATTCGTTTCGGTTTGTAAGGGAATAACTCCGTATATTTTTTTTAGAAATTGCGCCGATCCAACTGCCTGGAGGCGATCAACGAGGCTATGAACAACAAGGGCGTGAAACTGCAAAACATCGGCATTCCGGAGATTCGACATTTCATCTACAAAAGCAAATCCAATGCGCAGCTTCTGTGCTCCGAGCTGACGGTTCCGTACTCCAGCATCGACCAGTTCAAACGGTTAGAGGGCATGTACTTTGAGCTGCACCATCGGATACACAACTCCGGCCGGCCGGTGAAACTGATCTATCAGATGCAGGAGAAGGAAATCCTACTGGCATGGGTGAGACTGGAATGATATCCTTTTTTTTTAAACGTAAAATTTAACCCGCTCTTTCCAGGTTACCCAAGCGTACGAACTGTTTGCTGCGTTCGAGCCGACCGTCCACCGGAACGACGTCATAAACCTCGTCAACAAGCTGCTGAAGTGGATCAAAAAAGAGGAGAACAGCTTGTTTATTCTATCGGCGCCGACCTTCTAGGACTTGGGTTCCTTTTTCCCTTCCTTTCCGTTGTTTTCGTTCTCCATCCCCTCCAATGGTAGCGCCGGGGGGATCGGCTAAGAAGGGGAAAAGAGTGACGTTACACACATACACACAAATCCGCGAGATTTCCTTCCTTTATACCTATTATATGTAACAACACGGCACCCGTTTGCAATTAGTTTTCCTTATTTTACTAGATTAGAATAGCAAACATAACGATGATTGAGTTTAGCGAAAGTAAAGTTGATAGGTATCTATTATTTTTTTTTACTGACGGTCGTCGAGAGCATGATGAATTATATTAAAGTATAAGAGTGATTCCAATCAAAGAAAGTTTAACAAATTTAGGAGAACGACTATTTATTCGAAATTGTCCGGAAAGCGAAGCCAGCGTTGGTGACGATTGATTGATGGTGAATATTATACATATTGCCTAAAATGGTTAACAAAGTCTAGAGTCTGGAAGGCTAAAAGCCTCTAGAAGAGATTTGAATGGGACCGAGATGGAAGCGTGGTAGAATAGCGAGTGTGGAGAGTCCTAACTAATATGACTGTACATAACTGTTATAAAAATGTAAACTGTGAAATTTTATGATTAACTTGTTTAACTTTAGGCAGTGTAGTTGAATTGATACGAAATACATGATGAACAATCGAGACTTATCTATTATTTACATTCTAAAACTGGCAGGTCATCTTTGAGCGACACCATTCTCATTATTAGTAGCCTCTACGATTGCATCTCGAATGCTGAGCCCCTCTTCGATGTCGTTAGAAGCCTATGGCCAGGTGCCAACTGCGGATGCCACATCCAGGGGCCTGCCAACAGTGTACAAATCTATAGCGTTTCACAGTAGCCAACATCTCGGGCCTTATTACATTGTCTACATGTTGTGTGCCTTATTTTACAGCTGGTTAGCATCGAAAACATGGCCGCCAGCCAGGCACTAGGCCACATCCGTGGGCACAGGGATGTCAACATTTTAGCACAGACAAACAGACATAACATATTGAATATTTCTCACTGTAAAACATCGTCGCTAAAACATTACCGCCTTCTGTTGAGTACACTGTGGTGGGTAGTAAGCTGAACAGATGGCGGTGGTGTGTAAACGTCAAACGCAAGGGAATTGACTATGCGCGCCACAGGTGGCGGTACTACCAACTATGATACTTTTAAATTGACCGTTCAACGCTTGTTCGATGAACAACTTGCGAGTGTTATGTCTGTTTGTCTGTGATTTTAGTTTAAACTGGATTCTTTCAGATTTTTTTTTTTGTTGACGCAGTTTTTTGTACAGTACAAAATGATTAAGATGCTTAAAATTTAAACTTTTATATTGGAATTGACATTAGGAAATGCAATATTTATTAACAGTCATAATACAATGCCCATAAATGCGTGACGATGCTGCGAACAAGCTCGCTTGGCGGCAACTGGTGGGGCTTATTTATATTAATCGTGCGGGGACATGTTTTCCCATGTCGAAACTGATGATTGGGACTTATTATGTAACATTTCATAAATTGAGCTTTTTTCGTTGACATTTAGAGGTGGTGCAAGGGCTGTACTGCCTATAAACGCATATCAGTTCTATATGGATTTTCGTCAATTTTGAGATAACAACGCTATCAACTATCAATTGGCGTTGGCCAGATTTGGATTTTTCAGATATAATCCGAAATAGGACCTAGTTTATTTAATACTCTAGTAGCCTCAAGTCCGTGCTCTGTCACAAAGTTTCATTGTGATTAATCTACACTCAAAGGGGTAAATATCAAATTTTTGGCGAATTTGAAAGAAATGCAATTTGGAGTGTACTGGACGATTCTGAGGCCTGGCCAAGTGAGTGGGGTATGGGTTTATTTGATTGAACGTCATTTCCAATTTATATATTGATACATTCAAACCATTGGCATTTGGTATTTCAGATACGACAGAGATAGGATGCGGAGGGCCCGCTTAGGGGAAGCGTAACCCATGTTATGGTTTCCATTTATTAAGGCTCTGAACCATTTGGTGGATTATTTTAACTTTTGGTTAAAATTTGACAGATGAAAAGTTATCGATTAACCCTGCTATCCGAGCATGGTTATTTCTGACAGACAAGAAGTTAAATTTTGACAACCGTGGCTCGAAAACCGGTCGATCGACAGCACTGGGATTTTCGAACATAGAAAATAACTTTCGAAATGTCACTTTTAACCACGAGTTAAATTTAACTCAGCAAATGGTTCACAGCCTAAATAGTTCAGATAGGCTAGAAATGACAGGTTTATAGTGAGAAAATGTACCATATTGGGAGAGCATAATGTTCATACTTGAAGGGTTCAAACCGGCTGAGCTGTTCGGTTGTAGTTTGACCTTCCTTCAAAACCAATTGAATAGAAATGCCAAAATCTTACCGAGTAGTTTAGCTGTTCTGATTTCGGTACAGTTTGTTGAGATTGGGTATAGCTTCTTGGTATGAATTCCCATTTAGAAATAACTCAGATTAGCACAGAGTAATAGTTTTATTGCTAGGGAACTTTCTTTTGGGATCGTCTTTTCTTCATACAATTCTCATTATTCATACTATATTAATCATGATCAGTCTTAGAAAATGTGATATGTTTGAGCCCAGTTCTAGAAGAGAGTAAGCAGTCAGAAAGGATCACGCCGATTGGAGACAGCCAATTTATACTGGACGGAACTGGTAAGTAGGATAAGAACATGTAAAAGGTGTATGTACATGCATGATTTACCTATTTTAGAATTACCTATAAGCCACAAGACTGTGACAAGAGAACCTCATTTCCTTCAATTACTGCTCCATCGCAGCACACACCTAATAATGATCACTAACCTTCATATAGTTTCAGCATTATCGACATTATAATCAAAAGGCTAGTTTTGTTTAGTTTTCTCTATTTAGATTTTCAGCCGCAGGCTGGATCATCTCCGGATAATCAAAAGGTGAGTTGTAAAGTATAATTACCTTGCATAGATGTAAGTTAATGTACCAGAACCTGGACGGACACGAGCCTACCCAGAGGAGGACCCGGATACGACCACCCATGTGTGTCTAGAGTATCGCACGAGCTGACGAGTGCAATGGGAAGGACAGTGGGGTTTTTTTTTTTTTCCTCTGTTCGGGACATAACACCACTGCGACCAGTAATTTGATCGATTGTAGTATATCCCGTGTCCTTAGTTTAGTGCATGTCGTATTACTCCATCACTATTGAGAAATGATGAAGTATTCGGTTTTGATACAGTTGTCATTCTTGCCTTCATCGCAAGGAATCGATTCTAACTGAAGGTTCCGCTATTTATACCCTTTGGAGTTGGAACACCCTCCAAAGGCGCGCCCCTTTGTCAGTCAAAATTGGATTCCTTAACAACAAAAACAAGCTATGACACCGATAATGACCATGCATCAGAACCCTAGTCTTAACCACTTCAAACTAGGGAACAACGATTAGAAGATTAGGAATCACATAGGTGAAGACTAACTAACTCATTTTTTTCCTTGTTTCAAGATCATCCTCGGTCCAGGCAACCCGAGGACTTATCACTATCAACAAGGCATAAAAAGTAACAAGGACTAAGATGTGTTCCTTTGATTAATGAAAAATCCTGTTCCCCTAGTTTGAAGAAGTTAGGACTAGGAATCGGTGGTAGATCTTACATCCCGTAACGTACCACGAAAAGGTGATCTACCCACGTTACGGGGCAGTGTAGGGGGTTAGTCCCTAGATAAGCCAACTTAGTGGTTGACACAGCCTATACACTGAACAATTACAATTACAACGCTATCAACTATCAATAAAATTGACCAATTTAGATGGTCAAGTTTTGAAACCACCACAGCATGCTTTTGGCGCTACTGCATATGGATGATCAAATGTAAAATACTGTGGTAGCCAATGGTTTCGTGTGATGTATTTTTCGCTAATTTAACAAAACATGCAAGCTTCATTGCAACAGATTTTAACTTGAATAAATGATCAATAAATTTACTATCATTTTTGAACTATTTATATGAGAATTGCACTTCGTAGCTTCGGCTGCCATTTTCTCAATGACTACTGTCGTGTCCGGGCCGTCCAGGCTGACCAGGCCTGGAGCCGGACCTCGGGCCAATTTTACCTTTGAGGACGCTCCTCTTCGACATCTCAACCGCTCGTGTATAGATTCGTCGGAAAACTGACCGGAAACTCAGTGTACTTCATATACCCTCCTTTTTCTTATTTTTCTTCAGTTGATCAATTCATACACTGGACAAAACCGAGATTTGTTTTATATTTATTTATCAACAGCTTACTTGCTCTTACTTCCTACAACTACTTTTTTCCATATGGGACTGATATGCGATTATAGGCAGAATAAGTCCAAAATGTCAAGCGATGAGCTTTTAAAATAAAATATAATGTTTCTATAAGTAAAAAAGTGATGTTGTACCCCTAAAGAACCAGAATGTTGTCCAATTTACGATATATTCACTCCTTCTTCTTCTTCTTCTTCTTTCCTTTTTTAACGTCGGTCTCTGTTCCGCAATCTAGTGTCATCCACCGACGGACCATTGACGGCACTTTCCACACCTGGCCGGGACGAGAGATTTTTATGCTTCAGAAAAATCCCACCGACCTCGGCTGGGATTGAACCCAGACCCATTGGGGAGAAACCAGTCACGCTTACGACTACACCAGCGGTGCCGGCGAAATAACGCAAAACAAATCGCTGTCAAACTCATTTTGACAGAATTAATTTCTTACATTATTAAGGTTAGCCAGAGGAAAACAAAAAACAACCTTAGCCTTAAAGGCCGTTCGCAATGCTGTTGTATTTTATAAGGACTGTTTCAATTTGAAACTAGAACAGAAACGCACCTCTCAGGCCGTTCGCAATGCTGTTGTATTTTATAAGGACTGTTTCAATTTGAAACTAGAACAGAAACGCACCTCTCGCAATGCTGAGTTGCAGTTTCATTATTCGAGCACTATTTTGCACCAGATTTGCAACTGCTCGACTATTCTGTTTTATTTCTGAGCGAGTTTGAAACACGAATGGAACTCTGTTTCAAATTTCTTTGGATGTGTTAGAGATGTTTCGAGAGCTTCACAAATAAAAACGGAGAATTTCATAGAGAACAGTAAAGTTTATGGAACTTGATGATTTCAAACATCTTTTAGAACTGTGCGTTGCGCTGATCGTGTTGCAGTTTTATTTTTGGCAGTTTCAAATTATAGAATTGACGAGTAGTTTAAAACAATTTTGAAACTCAGCATTGCGAACGGCCTAAGTTACCTCTACACTGATAAATTGAACTATTCCCATTTTGCTTGAAATTTAATCAATTTGACATTGAACTCAGTTTAATCATATCGAATGATTAAAAATTAATCCTCTCTTTCTAAAAATAAGCATCTGATATTAATCCCAGTTTAATCATGGTTGATTAGATTGTAGATTATCATTTTTGAATAAAATTTAATCATTTTTGATTCTATTTTAATAATTTTTGATTGAATTTTAATCTTTTTTGATTATATATCAGTATTGATAAAATTTAATATTGGAAAGATTATTTCGAATTTAATCATGCATGACTACCACCGACGAACCGACGTGCCAGCTCATATAGAAGCTACATTCAAAATCTTGCCCAAGACGCCA